GTCTAAAAATATGACCAGATTCTAGCCCAGTGAGGGTCAAATTGACACCACTTTTTTTTTTTTCAGGAGTTGATAATTTCTAAAACTAAAGTTTTATAAGTTCAGTTCTAAAGAAGTTCATTTTGGGGTGGAAGGAGCAGGGTAGCATCAGAATCTCAAAAGGTAACCAAGAAAGATACCATAAAACAAGTCTTTGGCTTAAGTTGACCTTGAGCCTGGCATCTGTAAACCAAATTTTAGTTTTTTCCTTTTCATTTCATTAGTTGTTTCTTTCCTGCAGTCTCTTAAGCTCCTGGGCTCAAGCAATCTTCCTGTCTCAGCTACAAGAAACTGAGACTATAGATTGCATACCCTAGGCCCAGTTTCATTAGTTCTTTGATACCTATAAGCTGCCTTTTCAAAGTGGATATGTTTTCCTACCATGAGCTGGTGGCTTATGTACTCACACCTGAACTGCAAGTTAAAGATACTACATATCACTGTCCCACAGACGAGTATCCCCATGCTTCTAGTGCAAATTAAAAAAACACATCCTCATCCTCAACACTCACTTCCATCTGTTGAGGCAACATTAACAATAGATGAAAACTAAGGCTCAGAGATTAATGGCCAATGCATCATGTATGTTCCTTTGCATTTTTGCATAGGACAAACTAGAAAGAAGACATGTTATTATTACAGGCAAAGGAAAAAATGTTCTTGAACCCTCCCTGAGGCACATCATGCCAGGTTCATGCAGTCATATGTTTACAGACCTGCCATGGTTACATACTGTGTCAGCCTTGTGGCCCTCCCTCAAAAGGGCGCTGTTTTCTGGAGGAAAACAAGTCTGTAAACCAAAATTTTCTGCCAGTTTATGCAACAATGAAGCTGCAAGATGTGAGAACCCACAGACCAGGTTCAGTGGCTTATGCCTGGAATCCCAGCACTTTGGCAGGCCGAGGGTGGAGGTGAATCATTTTGAGCTCAGGAGTATGAGACCAGCCTGGGCAACATGGTGAAACCCCACCTTCACAAAATACAAAAATTAGCCAGGTGTGATTGTACATGTATGGTCCCAGATACTCAGGACACTGAGGAGGAGAATCGATTGAGCCTGGGAGGCGAAGGTGCAGTGAGACAAATCACTACCGCACTATTGCCTGAGCAATAGAGCAACAGCCCATCTAAAAAAAAAAAAAAAAAAAAATTCCAAGAACCTACCACAAATCCTGGACATGTTGACAAATGGACCAATGCATATAGACACAAACTTGAAACACAAAGACAGACAGCAAAACCATGACCAATGTGCAAAAGCAAGGGCTGCTGGTGCTCTTCTAGAAGCTAGAATGGTCATTTTATCCTGCCTGCTCAGGAAGAGGAAGCTTTGAGACCGCTCTTCTTTCATAAACACTATTCAGTAAGCACACTACAATTCTTTTTTTTTCTAATTTGTACTAACCATTAACTTACATAACTCTTGTGTGGAAACACAAAGGAGTGTATATTCAAGATAAGAAAGCATGTAGTCGGGCGTGTTGGCTCGCGCCTGTAATCCCAGCATTTTGGGAGGCCGAGGCAGGCGGATTACTTGAGGTCAGGAGTTGAGACCAGCCTGTCCAACATGGTGAAACCCCATCTCTATTAAAAAGACAAAAAATAGCCAGGAGTGGTGGCACACGCCTTGTTTGGGAGGCTGAGGGCAGAAGAATAGCTTGAACCATGGGAGCGGAGGTTGCAGTGAGCTGAGACCACACCATTGCACTCCAGCTTGGGCAACCACAGCAGATTCTAAATCAAAAAAAAAAATTAAGAGGCAGAGGCCTAGAAAATGCCAGTCACTGGGAACAGGGAGGCAAGTGAGTGAATAGGCTCTATCCTGGAAACCCATACATCACAAAAGTTCATCCTTCCCAGAAACCAGAAGCTCCTTATCTGCAAAACAAATCCTAGGGACTTCCTGCCTACCCTCCAACTCAGCTCACTATTTATTAATTTCTAGAGTTACACTGAGGAGAAAAAAATTTGTAACTTGATAAAGCTTTTTTTTTTTTTTTGGCGGGCGGTGGCTCAAGCCTGTAATCCCAGCACTTTGGGAGGCCGAGACGGGCGGATCACGAGGGTCAGGAGATCGAGACCATCCTGGCTAACACAGTGAAACCCCGTCTCTACTAAAAACACAAAAAACTAGCCGGGGCGAGGTGGCGGGCGCCTGTAGTCCCAGCTACTTGGGAGGCTGAGGCAGGAGAATGGCGTAAACCCGGGAGGCGGAGCTTGCAGTGAGCTGAGATCCGGCCACTGCACTCCAGCCGAACCAGCAGAACAGAGACTCCGTCTCAAAAAAAAAAAAAAAAAAACTTGAACAAGTCTCACTGGCCCAGGCAGGAGTCACAGTGGGTCAGCTCACTGCCTTCCACCTGCCTGGTTCAGGATTCTTGTGCATCAGCCCGAGTAGCTGAGATTACAGTGCCTTATGTCTCCAGCTAATTTGTGGGTTTTTTGTTTTTGCATTTTTTTTTTTTTTTTTTTGAGATGGGTCTCACCCTGTCGCTGGACAGGGTGGGTGCGTCGCGCAATCTCGGCTCAGAAAAACAACTCCACTTCCCGGGATTTCAAAGATTCTCCTGACCGGGCGTGAGTGGCTCAAGCCTGTAATCCCAGCACTTTGGGAGGCCGAGGCAGGCGGATCACGAGGTCAGGAGATCGAGACCATCCTGGCTAACACGGTGAAACCCCGTCTCTACTAAAAATACAAAAATTAGCCGGGCGAGGTGGCGGGCGCCTAGTCCCAGCTACTCGGGAGGCTGAGGCAGGAGAATGGCGTGAACCCGGGAGGCGGAGCTTGCAGTGAGCCGAGATCGCGCCCACACTGCACTCCAGCCTAGGCGACGAGCAAGACTCTGTCTTTAAAAAAAAAAAAAAAAAAAAAAAAAAAAAAAAAAAAAAAGATTCTCCTCAACTCCCGAGGCTGGGATTACAGTGCGCCACCACTGGCCAGCTAATTTTTGTATTTTTAGTAGAGATAGAGGTTTACCATGTTGGCCAGGCTGGCCACTGGCCCAGCCACTCTAACCTCGTAGTCTGCCCACGTCGGCCTCCCAACATGCTGGGATTACAGGCATGAGCCGCCACGCCCGGCCTAACTTTTGTGTTTTTAGTAGAGACTAGGTTTCACCCTGTTGGCCAGGCTGGTCTCAAACTCCTGATCTCAAGGGATCCATCCATCTCGGCCTCCCAAAGTGCTGGGATTACAGGCATGAGCCACCGTGCCTGGTCCATAAAAAAATTTAATAGACTCATTCATACTAAAGGAGCATGTAAAGTTATGTGCTGCTTCCTCGTTTTCATGGAGATAAAGGGGTGAACCAGGATAGAAAGAGACAAATTTGAATTAGACTTCAGTTCTGCTGAGGGCAGCCCTGCTTACCTTTTAGCAGGGACAGCCAAACATGTAGCTCTATTTCACACCCTTTCTGTTCTTTTTTTTTTTTGAGACCAGAAGTCTCACTCTGTTTGCTCAGGTTGGAGTGCAGTGGCAAGATCTTGGCTCACTGCAGCCTCCACCTCCCAGACGCAGGGGATTCTCCTTCCCCAGCCTCCCAAGTAGCTGGGATTATAGGCAAGCACCTGGAGGCCAGACTAATTTTTATTTTTTTGTAGAGACAGAGTTTCACGTTGTTGGTCAGGCTGGTGTTAAACCTAGCCTCAGGTGATCTGCCTGTCTCGGCCTCCCAAAGTGCTGGGATTACAGGTGTGAGCCACAGCGCGAGCCTATTTCACAGTTCTGAGACTCACTTTTAAAAACTAGTTTGACATATTGCATAAGCATGATAAGGAGATTCAGGATAGTTCCTAAATAACCAATGTTGAATGGACTAGAGTCTGGATACTATAGGCAGAAGGTAAGAAGAAGCACATCGGCCGGGCGCAGTGATACGCCTGTCTCAAAAAAAAAAAAAAAAAAAAGACAGCACATACAGGGGGCTTAAAGTCTTTTTACTTCTAATTGATCTCACATGGTCTTCTATCATTACCTCCCCAACAATAACTGAGGTTAGTGACTTTCTCCCCAAATAACAACACAGTAGGTAAAGTCCAGCTGAGGCTGGACACTGAAGAATCTCTCTTTAGGACTCACGCTTTAACTGGTTCCCTGGCAAAGAAATGCCCAATGACTTCCATGACACTGATTTAAATAATCACCTCGCACCTTTCAGCTCTGATTCCTTTTCAGTAGAGGTAGTCTTGAACATGACTAGGAGCATTTTACTGGTTTAAAAACCCACTCACAGGGTCAGTAAGTTGGCAAACAAAGAGGGCCAACTGTCACCTAGTAAAATTTGAGTATGCAATCAGCTTTCAGTTTTTTTTTAATCTGTTATCAAGCATCCCATTTTTAACATTAGCCTTCACCCTCCTCTGCCAAATTCCCCAACAGGCCAACTGAAATTCATGTATGTATAATAACTGTCATGCAGGTTAAGCAGCTCTCTGAAAAGCAACACACAAAGCATATGGAACAAACAGCATGAAACTTGTCTATCCTGCAGTGAATTTTATTGAATTAATAGTAGTATTATTCCTGTTGAGGAAATAAAAGCTAAAATCAAGTTTTACAAGTAATCATCATGAGATAAACCAGTGAAGAGGACTTTTCAGATCATACCAGAGCTGACACCAGTTTCTGCCCCAGCCCACATGAGATGTTTTTTATTCAATACAAACAGGAACAGAGTAACTAATGGCCACAGAATGAGAATATAAGTGCACTTGAAATTTTTTCTGAGTTTCTGGCTATATGCTCCCAATCTAAACCTAGCATTCTTTTCTTACAGGTGAACAGAAATCATCTGCTAATGCAGAAACTTTAAAGCTCTTAATTCGGCTAGAAACAACTATGGTGGGAGCCTTTTTACTGGCTACTTGCTTCCCAGTTTGGGGTTGCCCACAGCAAGTTAATTTCAACACAACAGGTCATCTGCCTGGCCACATCATGCACTAGTGGCCAGGGGGCAGGTTTAATGAGTTTTGTGCTCAGATCATGGAGTCTCCTGGCTGCTCTTGTCCATCTCTGCACCTTGGTCTGAGCATTCTGAGACTCAGTCAACAGAGATAAAAGGGACCTACCAGCCAGTTGAGGGGCGTGTTGTTAACAAGATAATCCATCACATCATCTAAAGATTCCTTCATTTTTCTGCAGCTGCCCATGCTAGAAGTGAGGGAGGCTGTCAGACACTTCCTTAAAAAGGAGGCGGCACTGCGGAACACTGAGTAGATGTCGCCTGCCATCACCCATGTGCTTGGCCTGATCTTGGATGTTCTGCGGATGCATGGATGTTGGACAGGAGGTTGTGGCACGTGGTCTGGAGCTGCTGAGTCAGGTTGCGGGCAATTTCAAATCACATTGACTCAATGTGCTAAAAATAAAACTTAAAATTAGCAGTGGATCAGCAGTGCTATGTTAGGATTAGTTCAATGACAGTAAGCTGGTTATGTGTCCACCACATATATGGATTCTTCAGTTTTTAAAAATCCTCATTACAATGCCGAGTGCAGCAGTATTATTCACATTTCATAGATGTGGATATAAGCTTAGGATTTAAGTAGATGGCTTCAGTTAACAACTGGAAAACAGCTGGGTAGGGATTCGAACTAGTGCACCAGGTCTCCAAGAGTTCATCATCTTAAACTGAAGAAAACATATTAGAGTAGGGAGACCCAAAAGAATGGAAATGTACTTCATGCTAGTAGTGTAATGTATATATTCCCTCCTCAAATAAGATGACAAAGACATGCTCCTTGCAGGGAGATCGAGACCATCTTGGCCAAAATGGTGAAAACGCTGTCTACTGACTTAAGAACTTTTTGGGAAACAAAAGAACCACTTTCTAGGACATTTCTAGAATATCCTGAAGGATATTTCTTTCTGGTTTTTTTTTCTTTTTATTTTTGAGACAGTCTCAGTCTGTCTCCCAGGCTGGAAGAGCAGTGGCACGATCACGGCTCACTGCAGCCCTGACCTCTTGGATTAGGTGATCCACCCACCTCAGCCTCCCAAGCAACTAGGACTACAGGTGCACACCACCACGCCACTAATTTTTGCATTTTTTTGTAGAGATGGGGGTTTCTGATTGCCCAGGCTGGTCCTGAATTCCTGGGCTCAAGTGATCTGCCTGCCTTGGCCTCCCAAAGTGCTGAGATTACAGGTGTGAGCCATTTGCACCCAGCCAAAATCATGTCTTCTCTCCAGAACCTTAGTCACCTTATTGCCCTTTCCACCTAGTTTATTCACCGGTAGTTCTCAGTTCACCCATTCATCTTCCGGAAGCAATGTGAAGCTCACCTACCCTACTCAGGCTGCCTGGAATGGTCTTCCCATATATTTTTCTTTTTGTTTTTGAGACAGAGTCTTGCCCTGTTGCCCAGGTTGGAGGGCAGTGGTGTGATCTCGGCTCACTGCAACGTCTGCCTCCTGGGTTCAAGCGATTATCCTGCCTCAGCCGCCCGAGTAGCTGGGACTACGAGCCGCGATGCCACCATGCACAGCTAATTTTTGTATTTTTAGTAGAGACAGGGTTTCACCATGTTGGCCAGGATAGTCTCGATCTCCTGACCTCATGATCTACCCACCTCGGCCTCCCAAAGAGTTGGGATTACAGGCATATGAGCCACCGCGCCCAGCCAATAGTGCCTGTAGTGATGCTGTTAAAAAACAACGGTTCCTGGCGACTCTGGGCGTACTGCCTGTGGGATAGCCCTCTTCTGCAGGAGCATTAAAAAAAAAAAAAAAAGGAGCACAATAGGACAGCATGGCTGACTGTATCCCAGTAATCTGTACCATTGTGAGGACAAGGCCTACGACCTCATTTAGTTGTATCTCACTTGGGGCATATGTATACTCATAGGTTGTTAGATAAAATTATTCCCTGCCTAGTTTTGCTTTTCTGCCCCACCTTCAACCACCTATACACATAGTATCGTTCAACCTTTTGATACAGAAGAGTATTCTAAGACATAGTATGGAAAAATTGAAATGAAAAAGTCTGGCAAGAACTTCTTCAAAAATCGAATGACTATCCCAAAGTCTCATCTTACCTCAGCACAGTGGGACTCATCAATGTCATCGTATCAATGCTCCTTTTCCACTCCACCCATGAGATGTAGAGCTTATCCTGAGCATCCTGAATTTTCTGATTGGCACTATGCACATTCTTCCTAGCAAATTCAATCTAGACACATTGAAACAGGAAGGAACATGCAAGTCAGATATTATTCATATTAACCGTTTGCAGATTATATGATGTAAATCCAGGCAATATAAAAACTAAGGGCCGGGCGCGGTGGCTCAAGCCTGTAATCCCAGCACTTTGGGAGGCCGAGGCGGGCGGATCACAAGGTCAGGGAGATCAAGACCATCCTGGCTAACCCGGTGAAACCCCGTCTCTACTAAAAAATACAAAAATCTGCTTGGGCCCGGGTGGCGGCGCCTGTAGTCCCAGCTACTCGGGAGTCTCGAGGCAGGAGAATGGCGTGAACCCGGGAGGCGGAGCTTGCAGTGACTGAGATCCGGCCACTGCACTCCAGCCTGGGCGAGAGAGCGAAACTCCGCCTCAAAAAAAAAAAAAAAAAAAAAAAACTAAGAATTTCCTCAGAGTTGAATGAGATCTATTCCTGCTGTCATTGTTATTTGGCCATCAGTATGTATAAATTAGCAAGCAGTATGCTCTTCCACTACCTCTAACTGTTGTTAAATCACTGACTCCAAATTTACCTACAGTTTTAGCACAATTAAACAACTAAAAAAATTTTTTTTTTTTTTTGAGAAGTCTCACTCCATCACCCAGGCCCGAAGTGCAGTGGCGTGATCACGCTCCTGAACCTCCTGTCTCTGAGTTCAAGTGAATTGTCCTGCCTCAGCCTCCTGAGTAGCTGGGATTACAGGCATATGCCACCATGCCCAGCTAATTTTTGTATTTTTAGTAGAGATAGGGTTCACCATGTTGGCCAGGCTGGTCTCGAACTCCTGACCTCAAATGATCCGCCCACCTGCCCTCCCTAAAATTGCTGGGATTATAGGCATGAGCCACCACGCCTTACAGCAGCAAATTTAATGCATGCACATGAGTAAAGGATGTTTGGATACAAAACAGAAAGGAATTTGACCTTCCTCTTCCCTGTTGCCAACCACCTATTTCCCCTTCAAGGAAGAAATGGTTTTCTTATGGCAGTACAGAATGGTACATACTGTTCTCTAACCCACTTGTACTATACTTCCCATTAGTTTAGTAATAAATATATCGTTCAATTAGTCCTGTTAGTGGATGTGCATTGTTATAGTCTCTTACCAACTTTATTTCTGTCAAGCATCCGTAAGATAAAAAGTAAAGCATATATAGAGAGTGGGTATGTTTGTAACTTTCCTAAAACTGTCTCTTGAATCAGTCCCTTAGAGCAAGAGCTGTATAAGTGTGGTTCTTTCTCTACACTGTTGCCAACAATACATTTCCGTGTGGCAGGACAAGAGAGATGTCAGTACTTGACCCCTCAGAGCGAGATTAGCATTGCTTCATATGTTTCAGCTATTTATACGTCCTTTACCATGAAATATATTTGGTATTCTTGCAGTTTTCTATTGGGTTGTTCAAATGGTGAAATTCTTACAGATTTGCTGTGGTCATTATTAGTCCTAGAGATAAATGAACCCACTTCCAGATACCTTAGAAATAAAGTTTACTCACCAGGTGAACGGTGGAATGGAGCCCCAATGATCTCAGCTTTTTGTAAAAGCTGCTGCCCTGCTGAGAGCCTGCTGGTAGGCCAGGGCCGAAGCTTGGTAGATAGGGATCCCAGTCTAACATAATAACGGCTACCGAACCAGATCAAATCCTTCAGCTTTTTGCTTCTTTTAAATTCAAATAAGAGTTCAAAAACTTAAAGATACTGCTTTGATAAGGCCTGGACTCTAACACAGAATGTCTGACTTTCTTACTTCTACCCAATCATAGCAATCATGAGTCATTTTCCAAGACTGCCACGTCTGCTGCTGGACTTGACTACCTGAACATATTACCATCTGCACTTTACACACTGCATGCATCTACACGTTTTTCCCACTAGAGTAACCTGCCTTTTTTTTTTGGAAACAGCGTCTTGCTCTGTTGCCTAGCCTGGGTAGTGGCAATCTTGGCTCACTGCAGCCTCAACCTCCCAGGCTCAACTGATCCTCTCACCTCAGCCTCCCGAGTAGCTGGGAATATAGGAACAAGCCACCACGCCCAGCTAATTTTTGTGTTTTAGGGTTTCGTCATGTGCCCCAGCTAATCAATTCCTGAACTCAGTGATCTGCCTGTCTCAGCCTCCCAAAGTGCTGGGATTATAGGCATGCACCATTGCGCCCAGCCTACAGTGAACTTGAGCAGCATGGTACCTGGCACATATTACCTAATGATGATTCTTTGTAATGAGGATTTTATAAAGCAATCCATTAAAGACAATCCATTTACAGAAAATATTTTTCAAGGCCAATTTTTGCTAAAATTTGAAAACTTACTATGTACAATTCAATGTGAACTTTATGATTGCTTTAGGAAGGAAAATCTATAAAGGCAAAAAGATTAGTAGTTGCTCATCTGTAATCCCAACACTTTGCAGTCAAGGCAGGTGGATTGTTTGAACCAGGAGTTCGAGATCAGCCTGTGTAACACTAATGAATCTATCTCTATCATTAATTAAATTAAAGTTATTTCACCAAAACAGGCATGAGATCTTTAAGGGTAGCAGAAGTATTCTAAAACTGTATTGCGGTGATGTACACAACTGTGTAAATTTACACTAAAGATAGGAGTGTATGTCAGTAATATTTAAAGATTTAATATAAAACAGTATTTGAAGATAAAATTCCAGTTACCTAGTTCTTCCTCAGTGAGGAGGAGATTGCTGTTCTACCAGCTCGGTTTGGTGAGTGCATTTTCTACGCCACTGTTCACGAGGCTGCATCATCCGACTCCCCAGTACTGTATTAATGCCACACTGACCACAGACTTGGTCTTCTCCACACTGCAGTCACTGCCCCTTTGGTCTTGTCCATCACCCTGTGATCGTGCTGGCCACAGAATCATGGCCCCAGTCACGGTGGTCGTCACAGCATCTTTTGCCCCAGTCACGGCACCTTTGGCATTGGCAACAATCTATAAGTAGAAAGCAGTCCCTTGGCTGGTGAGAAACATGAGCACAAGGACATACTCAAGGTCTTACGCTAAGGTAGCACCGTGAGAGTTAAAGGAATGAATCTAGTCCTCTCCTCTAGCTTTAGGTCTTGGGCAAGTCACTGAGTTGATGACCTGAATTACCTATCAAGTATATCTGCCCTACCTGTAATCTCTTAGGAGATTGCTGGAGGAGCAAATGAAGTAAACAGATGTAAATCTGTCTGTTTGCCAAAGGCCGCAGTAGGCCGTGATTGTGCCTGCACTCAGCCTGGGTGACAGAGCAAGACCCTGTCTAAAAAAAAAAAAAAAAAAGAAAAAGAAAAAAAAGAAGAGAAAAAGAAAGAAAAGGTAAGTTATATAGCTTATTTCAAAGTCACATAATTTCAGAGAGGAAGCGAGATCAGGCACCTAAACCCTGGCCCTCAGGAGTATTATTAATCGCCAGTTATTATACATGGCCAGCATGGTGGCTCACGCCTGTAATCCCAGCACTTTGGAAAGCTGAGGCGGTTAGATCACACACAGAGTCAAGGGTTTCAGGAGACCAGCCTGACCAACATGGTGAAACCCTGTCTTTCAAGTAAAAAATTAGTCGGGCGTGGTGGCACATGCCTGCAACCCCAGCTACTTGGGAGACTGAGGCAGAAGAATCGCTTGAGCTGCCAGGGTGGAGTTGCAGTGAGCCAAATTGCACCATTGCACACAGCCTGGGCAACAAGGTGAGAAACTCCATCTCAAAAACAAACAAACAATAAAAAAAAAAAAAATAGCTGGATGTAAGCGGGCGTGCCTGTGAATCCAGCTACTAAGAATGTTGAAGCAGGACAACTGCTTGAAGCCAGGAGGAAGAGGCTGCAGTGAGCCAAACTTGTGTTGGTAACACACGTCACCAACATTTAAAGAAAATATCCAAAATGAGAAAATAAGCTCTCACCATTAGCATAGTCTCAAATGTATAATGAAAAATTTAAAAGATTTGCACAAGCATTCTAAAGGCTATACACTAAACTTATCTACAGTTGTGAACCATATAACATTTTGGTCAGCGATGGACCACATACGATGATAGTCCATAAGATTATATTGGACTGCCCTACTATAGATATACCACTTTTTTTTTTTTCACTGTACCTTTTCTACATACAGATGCACAAATATTTTTTTTTTTTCACTGTACCTTTTCTACCTTTAGATGCACAAATACTTATCATTGTGTTATAGTAGTCAGTGTAGTCATGCTGTGCAGGTTTGTAGCTTAGAAGCAAGCAACAGGCTATATACCATACAGCCTAGGTATACAGCAGGTTATACCATGAGTCCCTAACCCCTGGGCCATGGACCATTACCAGTCCATTACCAGTCAGAGGCAGCATTAGATTCTCAGAGGAGACCTAACCCTAACACCCTGTGAACTGTGCATGTGCACGCGTGCAGTTGCATGCTCCTTATGAGAATCTAATGATAAATATAGTACACTTGAATCATCCCAAAAACACCACCCGCCCCCTGCCGATCCATGGAAAAACTGTCTTCCATGGAACCAGTTCCTGGTGCCAAAAAGCTTGGGGACCACTGGGCTCTACCATCTAGGTTGGTGTGAATATACTCTGTGATGCTTACACAATGGCAAAATCACCTAATGATGCATTTCTCAAAACATATTCCCATCACTAACTGACAGATGACTGCATTTAGATTATGAAAAGACACAGAGCTATATTTTTCCCTAACTGGTGTCCTTTTGTGCCATTCTGTATTCTTAATTTGAAACAAAATTTTAGGACATTATCTGAACCAAAGGATCACCAGGACAGATAAGCCTATCATTTTTGTCAACACTGGCTAGCTATCCCATGTGGATGGTAGTTCTTGGCAGCATTGTACAAGTCAGGTGAGAAAAGTTTATATATATATCACCTCTGCATTTATTTAATACCACAAGAGAATCAGTTACTTGAGACAGTAATTTCATCTACAGGAGCAAAGACACAAATTGATAGACATCACACTAAAAGTTTTCTAATCCAAAGGAGGTTAGCTCTTCTCTGCTTCATAGATACAACTTGACAACAATTCAGGAAGTAAGGAAGCGGCCATTATTTTTCAAACACACATCCAGATCCAGGTTGGGAAAACAAGTTAAGTATTTGCTATTTGTGGTATGTACAGCTTGTGCTAACAGATAGAACATGAAAACATGTGAAGTGTCAAGCCTCAGCACTTTTGTCCCAAGCTCACCTGAGTTGATGGCTGATTCAGAATAGGCAGTCTCTCCTCAATCCTGTCTAGCCCCTTACAGGCATAGATATTGGCAACTGCAACTAGAATCACAAATGGGAAAATGTTAATGTAGTACTGTAGGTATAGAATGAACACACATTACCATACCTTATACTTTTAGCCTTATTTAAAAAATGGTAAGAATGGGCCGGGCGCAGTGGCTCACGCCTGTAATACCAGCACTTTGGGAGGCTGAGGTGGGCGGATCACAAGGTCAAGAGATCGAGACCATCCTGGCCAACGTGGTGAAACCCTGTCTCCACTAAAAATACAAAAATTAGCTGGGCGTGGTGGCGTGCGCCTGTAGTCCCAGCTACTCGGGAGGCTGAGGCAGGAGAACTGCTTGAACCCGGGAAGCAGAGGTTCCAGTGAGCCAAGATCGTGCCATTGCACTCTAGCCTTGGTGACAGAGTGAGACTCCATCTCAAAAAAAAAACAAAAAAAACAAAGGCAAGAATGTTGATCTTATACAACAGAATGCATTGCCTGGTTTCTCTAGCTCTGACAGAAAAGAGGCCTGGCAAGTTGCTGGCAACTCTCTTCTACAGATAAGGAAATATGGGGGTGTGAGGGAGGAGCAGGCAGAGGCAGTGACAGGACAAACAGGAAGCTGGCTCTGAAGCTTCTTCCTCATCAACTGGCCCCTAATGTTAATGCCAAGAGTATCCAGGCTTTCCCTGAACTCTCATTCAGAGAATAAGGTATCTGGAAACTCTCTTAAAGTTGGTATTCCCGAGCCAGTTTAATCCCTACCTACACTTACTTCAGCACATGTCAGTGTATTTGGGATTCTCACTAGGAAAGAGTATGCTAAGACCACCCTGGATCTCCCTAACAAGGGAGATTTTAGTGTGAGCTTCCCACTAAGAATACCAAGCCAAGTACAAGCACGAAATTCATTTAGGAAGTAGCAGAGTTGGAAAGGCTTCTTATAATCCTAAAAGTCCCTGGCTTAACCATTTGAAAGAATGATTTAAATCTTTATGCAAAAGCAGTTCACGATGTGGAGACACTGGAGCCTCCATACAGTGCTGGTGGGAATGTAAAATGGTACAGCTGATTTGGAAAACAGTCTGGCAGCTCCTCAAAAGCTTAAATTCTTATTATATAACTCGGCAATTCCACTCCTAGGTATATGCCAAAAAAACCTGAAAACATATGTCCACACAAAAACTTGTACACAAATGTTCTTAGAAGCATTATACATAATCTCCAAAAGTAGAATGAACCCAAACATCCATCAGTTGAAGAATGAATAAAATATTGTCTGTCTAGACAGTGAATTACTATTCCACAATAAAAAGAGATGAAGTACTGATATGATGTGACATGATAGATTAACTTTGAAAACATTATGCTCAATGAAAGAAGCCAATCACAAAGATGAAGGGGTGGCCTGCCCCTCCACACCTGCGGGCATTTCTCGTCAGGTGGAACAAGAGACTTGAGAAAAGAAAGAGACACAGAGATATAGAGACATAGAGAAAGGAAAGTGGGCCCAGGGGACCGGAGCTCAGCATACAGAGGACCCACGCCAGCACCGGTCTCTGAGTTCCCTCAGTATTTATTGATAATTATCTTTACCATCTCAGAGAGGGGGAAGTGGCAGGACAATAGGGTCACAGCAGGAAGAAGGTCAGCAGAAACACATGTGAATAAAGATCTCTGTGATACGAGTAAGTTTAAGGAAAAGTGCTGTGCTTTGATGTGCATATATGCAAACATCTCCATAAACATTTTCAGTGCATAAAGAGCAGCATTGCCTGCTAGCACGTCCCACCTCCAGCCCTAAGGTGGTTTTCTCCTATTTCTTTTCTCCTATCTCAGTAAATAGAACATACAATTGGGTTTCATTCCATTGCCTAGGGATAGGCAGGAGACAGATGCCTTTCTCTATCTCAACTGCCAAGAGGCCTTCTTTCCTCTTTTACTAATCCTCCTCAGCACAGACCCTTTACGGGTGTCAGGCTGGGGGGCTGGGGGACAGGTGTCGGGCTGGGGGACGATCAGGTCTTTCCCATCCCATGGGGCCATATTTCAGACTATCACATGGGAAGAAACCTTGGACAATATCTAGCTTTCCTAGGCAGAGGTCCCCGCGTGTAGTGTTTGTGTCCCTGAGGACTTGACATTAAGAGAATGATGATGACTTTTAACAAACATACTGCCTTCAGGCACTTGTTTAACAAAGCACATCCTGCGCAGCCCCGAATCCACTAAACCTTGAGTCACCACAGCACAAGTCTCTGCAAGGACAGGGTTGGGGGTTGGGTTACAGATTAACAGCATCTCAATGGCAGAAGAATTTTTCTTAGTACAGAACAAAAATGGAGTCTCTTATGTCTACTTCTTTCTGTATAGACACAGTAACAGTCTGATCTCTCTTTCTTTTCCCCACAAAAAAGCCCACACATTTTATGATTTCATTTATAAGAAATATCCAGCATGGGCAAATCTATAAAGACAAAGTAGATTAGTAGCTGCCTCAGGGCGGTTGGAAGGAAATGGGGAGTGACTATGACAGTATGAGATTTCTCATGGAGTATGAGATTTCTATTTTTCTTTATTTTGGTAAAATATACATAACAAACTTAACCATTTCAACCATTTTTAACCGCGCAATTCAGTGGCATTAAGTCCATTTACAACATTATACAACCATCACCACTATCCATTTCTAAAACTCATTCACAGAAGGGCATGGTGGCTCACACCTGTAGTCCCAGCACTTTGGGAGGCCGAGCCAGGCGGACCACCTGAGGTCAGGAGTTCCAGACCAGCCTGGCCAACATGGCGAAATCCTGTCTCTACTAAAAATACAAAATTAACTGGGCATGGTGGTGTATGCCTGTAATCCCAACTACTTGGGGAGCTGAGGCAGAAGAATCGCCTGAGTCCTGGAGGCAGAAACTGCAATGAGCAGTCTCAAATTCCAGGCATCAAGTGATCCTCCCATCTAGGCTGCCCAAAGTGCTAGGATTACAGGTGTAGACCACCATACCCCTCCTCTGGGGGATTTTTAATTAAAGGATCATAAACATCTGCCAATGCTATGAAACAGGCCTTCTATGGACAGGCGCGGTGGCTCATGCCTGTAATCCCAGCACTTTGGGAGGCCAAGGTAGGTGAATCACAAAGTCAGGAGTTAAGCCTGGCCAATATTGTGAAACCACGTCTCTACTAAAAATACAAAAATTAGCTGGGTATGGTGGCGGGAGCCTGTAGTCCTAGCTACTCAGGAGGCTGAGGCAGGAGAATCGCTTGAACCCAGCAGGCAGAGGTTGCGGTGAGCTGAGATCGTGCCACTGCGCTACAGCCTGGGCAATAGACCGAGACTCCATCTCAAAAAAAAAAAAAAAAAAAAAAAAAATTAGAGTAATAGGAGCAAGCATGAAGAAAAATTACCTATTTAAAAAAGATTTTAGTTGATATCAACTTAGAAAACAAAACATCAATAATATCTTCAGTTTAATAGAAAGTTTTAATTATAGCAGGTTAATGCATTAAAAATGTTAAATGTTGGAACATAGAAAGCTAAAGGAAAAGAGAGACTTTATAGAAATAAAAAATATAATATATACCCTTTTAAGTAAGTTAAAGAATCAATTCGAAGAGAAAATATTTGACAAGTTATCAGAAATGTATTTGTTGTTTAACGGCAAAAGTAAAAGAATAATATGTTTTTGTTTTCTTTATTTTTCCTTGCTAAATTGTGTTTTTAAATTTATAATTACAATTGCTTTGGCACTCCAAATGGATCAGAAGTAAATTCAAATGGATAAATAATTTTTGTAATTAAAAACAATATTATAGCAAAAAAAAAAAAAAAAAAAAAAGAAAAGAAAAAGAAATGGGCCTTTCATGGTAATGACGGTCACCTGAAAGTTTCTAGGTAAAGGTAATGTATACCCCAGGAAGGGCTAAGGAGTTCTGGATGTTACTGCTGTGAGCTCAGGGGCTCACCACTGACCAGTCCCTTGACTGCATCTTGAAAAATCAGAACTCACTTTGCGGCTCTAGCTTCTGGATGATGGGCAGAGCACTGGTCATGGCCACGGAAGTGATGGTCTTCACGCCCTTCTCTGCCATCTCACACACAGACTTCAGGTAGGGATATTGGTCCTTTGTACTGAGATAGGCTGAGGACATGAGGTCATACGTGGAGCTCACCAAGGGCAGGTTGATCACCCGAGTCACCACACTCTGCAATCAAAGTAGGGAGGGTGTGCTTATTAATGTCTCAAAACACAAGAGGAGAGAAAGTAGGCAAAGGCTACTAGAAATTCATACCGGTTGTGGATCAACTGCAACGGATGCCATTTTTCTTCCTGGAGAAAGAAATCTGCAGAAAAGAGACTTATTTCAGAACACTGGGATGACTCTCCCAAATTCATTCCCCAACCCAGGCAAATGCTGATTTCAAGTAGAGAAAAATTCAGGGTCAGTTCCGTGCAGTCTTCTGTACTTCTTTCCTTTCTCCAGCTCTCAGAGTCCCCCTCCTGAAGGACCCACACCCACACAACCCCACTCCCTCTTTTGAGGCAAGGTTTCAGAGCTTATGTGTAAACTTGCAATACTCAGGAGGGAGAAGCAAAGTTGTTGACAAACTTGTTTTATTTCTCCGTCAAGATAGAGAGATGCCTTTTGAAGGGCAGTATCTGTTGACAAAAATGCTAGCCAAGTTAAAACCCAGGTTAAGACTAAAGAGAGATTTCAAGCATAAGACATCTTGGTCAGCCGGGATTCTTGTGGGGATCAAGTGGGAACACTTTGCAGGGACGTTATAAAACTTCCTTGTGAAAGGACGGAAGCTAGTTTAGGGGAGACTACGCACAACAGCAAGGAGGTGCTCTGAGGAAGGAGAAGCACTTCAGGACGCCTTTAAACGTCATCTTAGCATCCCCAAAGCCCATCCCCACACAAAGCCGACCGCGGCCGGAGCTGGGAGGGAAAGAACCTGCTTGCTGTCGTCCGTGCCTGAGCGGCCAGCTCACCCTCCCCTCACCAAGAACGGAGCCGCCACTACTCTGAAGGCGGAAGACGCGCCAGTGTCGGTGTCCCACTCCCATTGTGTATTCATAATATGTGTACCTATAAAATGCGGTTTTCGGGCTGGGAGCAGTGGCTCACGCCTGTAATCCCAGCAATTTGGGAGGCCAAGGCAGATGGACTGCTTGAGGTCAGGAGTTCAAGACCAGGCTAACCAACATGGTGAAACCCCGTCTCTACTAAAAATACAAAAATGAGCCAGGCGTGGTGGTGGGCGCCTGTAATACCAGCTGCTCTGGAGGCTGAGGCAGAAGAATCGCTTGAACCCGGGAGGCGGAGTCATTGCACTCCAGCCTGGGCGACAGAGGGAGACTCCGTCAAAAAAAAAAAAAAAAAAAAAAAAATGCGGTTTTCTAACGCGTTTCCCTTTCGATAATGTCCCTTCGACAAATGTTAATTGTTTCCCCACAACCACCCAGGCAGGCCAAGGGACATTTGATAGCAATCTCCTAAATCTGTTGGCAGGAAAGAAGCCTCAACTCACAAAGGCAAGGGTGGAAAGCGCGGGTTCAGGAGACCGCCCCTACCCGGTCAGGATCTGGAAGCCGCGAGGCGAGCGGAGGGTCTCGGACCACCACCCCCGCGTCCTATCCACCTTAGAGCCCCGTGGGGAGCAAGCAGCGGCCCCGAGGCCCCGGGGAGCCCCCCACCCCAACTGGGCGCCGCTGGGGACCCCGGGCCGGCTCGCTGGGGCGCCGAGTGGGCGCGCACTCACCGACGGACTGCAGCGAAAGGCGGAGAGCAGGCGCGTCCCTAAGGCGACTCCGGCTGCCACCACCCGGTCAAAGCGTGGGGCCCGCGGGCGCCCGGACTATAAACCCCGCCTCGCCGCCCCTCCCCGAGCCTCCGCAGCACGTGACCCGCGGCAGCACGCCCTGTCCTACCCCGAGTGTCACCCTAGGGCACGTCCCGGCGCCCTCCCCCAGTGCCTGCCCTCCTAGAGGGTTTGGGGCCCGGTCGGGGTGAGAGGGTGTGTTGCCTGGGTGAGGGGCCCCGCCGCGGGGAGAGGAGCCTGTCGGGAGCGGGGCGGGGGGGGGGCCCAGCCTGGGGAGGCTGGGAGTTGGTGGTAGCCCTGCCTGGAGTCGGGGCGCTGCCTATGGTCGGGGTCCTGAGAGGCCCGGGGCAAATGGGGATGGCACCCAGGCCGGCTTTGGGGTTTTGAAAAACGCAAATTCACACCGACTTGTTGAATGGCGTTAGTCCTCAGAATAGAACTCTTTAAAAATGGAAGCGGTGGCTCACGCCTGTAATCACTACACTTTGGGAGGCTGAGGCGAGAGGATCTGTCGAGCCCAGGAGTTCCAGACCAGCATGTCGAATATTTTTTTTTTTAATTTTTAAAAATAGCCCAGCGTGGTGTCGCGCGCCTGTGTCCCCAGCTACCTGCGAGGCTAAGATGGGAGGATCGCTTGAACCTGGAAGGTCCAGGCTGCAGTGAGCCGAGATCGCGTGGCGCTGCACAATGGCTTCTACGCTGTTATTTTTAGCGAACTAATAACTTTTAAAAGTTTTGTGGAGGCTGGGCCCGGTGGCTCACGCCTGTAATCCTAGCACTTTGGGAGGACGAGGCGGGCGAATCACCTGAGGTCAGGAGTTCGAGCCCAGCCTGGCCAACATGGCGAAACCCCGTCTCTCCCAAAATACAAAGAAAGGAGCCCGACGTGGTGGCGCGCGCCTCTAGTCCCAGCTAGTCCCGGCTGTTTGGCGGGGTTGGGGGCGGGGGATGGGTGGCTGAGGTGAATCTTTTGAGCCCAGGTGGTCGAGGCTGCAATGAGTCGAGATCGTGCCACTGCACTCCAGCCTGAGTGACAGTGAGACCCTGTCTAAAAAAAAGACAAGACTTAACTCCAGATCACTCCAGAATGATAGCTGCGTAGGCTTATGTGAGATAGGCAACTTTATATGTGCAGGGTTATGCATTGTTTTCCAAAGACAACTTAAATAGTCATCTGAGTCCCAGTTGTGCTTTTTGTTTGTTTTGTTTTTTTCTCGTGTAAAACGCACGGATTTGGAACCAGATTATTTGAGCAGACAAGTTGTGCCACCGCCTGAGGCCAGGTAGGGCTCGTGGGACTTCTTCCCCCGTGAGTGACCAGGGATGAAGCTGTCTGGCTTCGCCCCACTCCCCACCCCCCGCACGCGGCTCGCAGGGAGGGTACAGCAGAAAGGAGGGTTGGGAGGTGGGAGGGGAACAGGCGCTGGCGCCGCGGGTCCGCCCCATGAGGAGCCCACAGCGCTGGAGTCCCAGGGAATGGCTTTGTGAAGCTTTGGAGTTGCAACTGTAGGAAGCTCTCAGAGGCTTTTACCCCAATTTGTTTTCTGTTTGTTTTTGTTTTGTTTTTTTGTTTGTTTTTGTTTTTGAGACGGAGTCTCTCTCTGTCGCCAGGCTGGAGTGCAGTGGCCCGATCTCCGCTCACTGCAACCCCAGCCTCCCGGGTTCAAGTAATTTTACTGCCTCAGCCTCCCGAGTAGCTGGGACTACAAGCGTGGGCCACCACGCCCAGCTAATTTTTGTATTTTCAGTAGAGACGGTTTCACCATGTTGACCAGCATGGTCTCGATCCCTTGACCTCGTAATCCGCCCGCCTCGGCCTCGGGAAGTGCTGGATTACAGGCGTGAGCCACCGCACCCGGTCTACCCCAATTTCTTAACCAATCTTGCATGCACACAGATACTGTTGATCGTATCTAAAGCTCCAAACAGACCCATTAAAATGATATCCCTTATACCATTATACCTGAATATACAATGGTCCTTACTTGGCAAGAAAAATTACAGTATTTTTCCCCCTCCTCCGCACATGTAATTCAAAATAAAGTATAAAACTAAGCCATAAATACTAAACCATAAAATAAGTGTTATGAAATCCAAAAAAGTTCTGGTTTGGGTTTTTTCCTATGTTGCTATCTTCAGTGTTTTAAGCAATCAAATTATTATATTTTTCTTTTCTTTTTCGTGTTCCGGGGCTGTTTGTTCCCTAAGCAAATGTTTGCTCTGCTTATTGGTAATCCATCCCTGCTCTAATGACCTCTTTATTTTGCATCAGAAGACTCTCGCCCTTTCACCTACAAAGTGCCTCCATCTTTTCCTTTTTTGTTTTAAACCTGTGAGTCATTTCCTCACTTAAGGCTAAGCAAGCTTCTTTTTGCTTTTATTTGCCTGTGAAGCAGAGGGCCCCAGGGACTAATTTTGGGAACAAGATACTCTTCAAGCCCACAAAGGATGAAGCACACCAAATTCTGCACCCCCAACTCTTTTTCAGCTTCATGAGTCTGAGAATATGAAACCAGTGGCAAGAGTAACACCCAAGGTGAGATGCATAGTGAAGCAAACAAAAAAATTTTACCCCAGAATATACTTCTTTCACATATTTTGAGATGGCTGTTCAGAGGACCTGCAGGCGGAAGTAGTCCTATGAAGCTGGTTTTTTGGTGTGTGTGTGGGAGAGGCTTGCAATATACAGAGAAAATCTGCACTGATGCAGCCAGGTGCTCTCTGAGGCTTTCCCTTGTCCAGATATAGGAAAGGTTAGTGGAGAGTCTGACACCTTTAAAGGTCTGAAAGAAACATTAACCATCTATTCTCTCCAATGGCTACTACCTGTGAGGTTTCATCTACATCAGCGGTCCCCAACCTTTTTGGCACCAGGGATAGGTTTCATGGAAGACAATTTTTCCATGGACCAGGGCAGGGGGATGGTTTTCAGGATGAAACTGTTCCACCTTAAATCATCAGACATTAGATTCTCATAAGGAGCCGCAACTTAGATCCCTTGCATGTGCAGTTCACAACCGGGTTCTTGCTCCTAAGAGAACCTAATAACAGCTGCTGACCTGACAGGAGGCAGAGCTCAGGTGGTATCACTCACTCGCCACTCACCTCTTGCTGTGCGGCCCTATTCCTAACAGGAATGTAAATGGCCACAATGTAAATGGCCCAAAGTTTGGGGACCCCTGATCTACATAATGAGATGACTTTTGCTAGCCAAGTTTCCATTTCTGTCTTGCCACTAAATCCTGATTTACCACCATTACCTGTTTTGGGGCATTCTCTGAGCCCCCCAAATTTCTGTAACCTCAGGAGTGGTATATAAGTTTCTGAACCCACTGAGAGGTGGAGTAATTACTCTGTGGTTCCCCCACATGCCCAATAATACATTTACGTCTTTTTATAATAATACATGTACATCTTTTCTCCTGTTAATGTGCTTTTTGCCAGCTGATTTTTCAGTGAACCTCCAGACGACAAAGGGGACGTTTTTCTTTGGCCCCTGCAGTAGGTTGCCATTAGATAGGGTGTGTGCAGTGTGGCAGTCCTGGGGAGTGGCAGGACATTACCATGGATTTGGTGAACTTGAGATTCTTGGAGGTTTTCAGGGCTTTGTTTGGTTCCCTCCAGGATTCAATTTACCGTCATTCAGGATCTGGCTCCTGTCTCTTTCTCACCAGCTTCTTCTCTGGACTTTACCTGTGTGAAAAGAAAATAAATCTTGGGACCCCCAAATCACTAAGCCAAAGGGAAAAGTCAAGCTGGGGATGTGTTACACAAACCTGCCTCCTATTCAAAGATAAGCTACATAAGCCAGGCGCAGTGGCTCATGCCTGTAATCCCAGCCCTTTGGGAGGCTGAGGCAGGCGATCACTTGAACCCAGGAGTTTGAGACCAGCCTAGGCAACATGGTGAAATCCCATCTCTACAAAAGATACAAAAATTAGCCGGGTGTGGTCGCATGTGCCTGTAGTCCTAGCTACTTGGTGGGCTGAGGTGGGAGGATCATTTGAGCCTGGGTGGTCAAGGCTGCAGTTGGGGACCGCTATAATGGAGACACTGCACTCCAGCCTGGGTAATAGAGTGAGACCCTGTCTCAAAAGAAAACAAAACAAAAAAGCTACATACTGCCCTCATAATTTGCCCACTAGGAAATTCCTGATGGGCCCTAAGATCTTTACCCTAAAACATTTCTGTTGAATTTCATCCTCACAATGTAAATTGAGAGCTTATATTCACAGGGGTGAGACATAGGACAGAACTCAACATCATCCCTCAGCTCACCTGAGACAAATTAATATCTAATTGCTTCCTCTGGCCTATGTGTATTTTATCGTATGTAAAAATGCAGATTCACTGAGCTAGATGAATGCGTGACTATTCCTCTACCCCCCATCTCACATGTCAGTGGCTAACCAAAGACTCAAAGGAATGCAACCATTTGCCTCTTATAGGCCCACACCTCTTAAAAATTTCTCCTCTCCCCAATAGCCACTCCTTTACCCTTTAGATATTGAAACCCTCAAAATCATCTTTGGAGAAAGGCACAGACCTGTCTCCCATGTGTGTGTCCTTAGCCTTCGCAAAATAAACTTCTAAATTGATTGAGTCCTGTCTCGGATACTTTGGCGTTGCACCTGTCTTAAACTTGAAGCTCTAGTCACACAGATTTACTTACAGTCCTTTGAACACATCCTAGTATAGGATTCCTGTGTGTCATCGCTCCTACTGTCTCCACCTTGTTCACTGGGAATTTATCCCTCAAATTCCCACCTGGGGGTGGTGGACAGATGCCACCACCCCCAGGAAGACCTCCCGACTACCCTAGATGGAATCCATCACTCAGACACCTCTGCACCTCTGTACTTTGTACATTTATGCTTGTCGTTTTTTGTTTGTTTGGTTTTTTTTTTGAGACGGAGTCTTCACTCTGGAGTGCAGTGGCACGATCTCGGCTCACTGCAAACTCCGCCTCCCGGGTTCACGCCATTCTCCTACCTCAGCCTCCCGAGTAGCTGGGATTACAGGCGCCCGCCACCTTGCCCGGCTAGTTTTTTTTTTTTTTTTTTTTTTTTTTTGTATTTTTAGTAGAGACGGGGTTTCACCGTGTTAGCCAGGATGGTCTCGATCTCCTGACCTTGTGATCAATAGAACGAGATATCCTCTCAAAAAAAAAAAAAAAAAAAAAAAAAAGAACAACTCCCTCAACACTCACAGACACA